GGGAATATTGGGCAGAAGTTTGCAGGCTTCCCTGTGGCAAAAAGTTGTAAATCGGTTGTTCGTAAATAGAGATGTCTGTAGGTTGCAAGGAGTGAGCTTCAAAGGCCAGATGTGGGGAACTGGTGAAGGAGCAGCACAAAGGATTTTATCTGATTAACTGCAACTAACTGTTCTGAATGCTAGAGGTTTTAACTCGGAAGACAACTTGAAGTGACAAGTAAGAACACGGTACATTACTCACGTCTTCTGACTCCTGGAAGTTAATACCAGTGTCATGAATTTATGACCGAGCGACTGCCTGTGTAATTCGGTGAGATTTCACTTGCTTGCTGGGCTACAGTTGTGTACAGTGATTTGCTTCAGGGGTAAACCTCCAAAAGCAAAATTGTTTCATCAACAAACATCATTCAATCCCACCTGCTAGTTTTATTTGTGTAGAATTTAAAGGTGATGGTGTTATTCAACATTCAGGATCACTCTAAGATGGATCAGCCTGTGATTTAGCATTTGATATATTGCTCACAACAAAACTGTTTGAGGGACTCTCTGAGAGGCTGGGTTTAAGCAGTCTTGCATTTGCGATATTTAATTGGGTATTGTACATCCACATGGTAGCATGTTAGGAATGTCTGAGACCATAGGAAGTGGTTTGTGTGGTTTATGTAAATGTGATTTTCCAAATGCCGAGAAGTCCTAACTGCAAAATTTCAGTACATTGGGGGAACAATTGTGTGAACCAGGGTGGATCACTAGTGACTTGTAACACCCGAGCTCAGTACTGGCAGCCTCAGAGCCTGGGGAAGATTCGCTCTGATCAGCAGAGGTTCCGATTCTGCTAACTTGCAAAAAAAAAAAAAGTTTGAGTCTGAGAGTGTATGCACAGTTATTAAACTGCCCTCTGACTTTGCAGATGAGCCTTTCTGAAGCCCTCTGTTTCCCTTGTATTAAACAGAGGCACACGTTTCACTTCACAAACCTTTTTCCCCACTTTGTTCGCCCCCTCCCCATTGCAATCACAGAAAATGGCCTTTCATTCTGCTGCCTGAGACACTTTGTTCCGCTGAAGCACAGTGCATGTAATGCCATCAGCGGCCCGATCTGCTCAGGAGCTTGCCCTTGCCGAGACTCGTGCTGAACCCCCTCCTGGCGAGCAGGCTGCTTTCACAGACCATGCACACATTCCAGCTGTGCGGCCGTTATAGAAAATATTGACAGAACCATCTCATCCATTTTCTTACTATCTGTCCTGGGTCATTACACATTCAATTTGCCCATAGTGTTTGAATTTGTTTTGTATTAAGCTTTAAAAGATGAAAAGTTAGATTAATATGTGCTAATACTGTGGCTTCTCTCTCTCTCTCCCCCCCCCCTCACAGTAGGTAACCAGCTCGGAGCAATGGTACATCAAAGGTGAGCCTGGCCTATTCACTGTATTGATAGGGTGTAAGTAGGTATTGATCCGGTCGTTTTCTGCAGGGCCCCTCGCAAGCCCTACTCGCAGGCGGGGTTACCAGCTGGACAGAGGCTGGAAGCTGTCTGCTAACTATGGAGCCTAGTAGGGAAAATGGATTCTTGGAGGATAATTGTTTTGCATCATTTTCCACTGCAACAGGTGGTTGTAGAATTTTCTCTCTTCCGCGTCTCTAACAGGGACAGAATTTCCATTTATTTTTGTTAAGGTAGAAGGAGGAGTTGCACATGGTTTCTCTTGATCCCTGTGCCTTTGTGGGTTTTTATATTTTTTGCATCAGGTGGCTGATTCCGGCCTGCATCAGCCTACCTGATAGAGATTTTTGTTTCAGTCGCCTTGAGTCATTTTCAAATTTGCGAATAGTGATCTGTATGTGCACACCACAAGAACGGACAGTTTCCAATTTTGTCACCCAAGCGACAGCACGGGTTTTGCAAGATTGCAATTTCCCAGGTGGGTGGGTGTGCACTGAAGATTTCGGGTTCAGATGTGTGACTGAATCCCTTATGGTTGAAGTTCCATTTAGAAACTCTCATCTTCAAATGCAGTTTTTTTTTTAATGTTTCGTGTACGAGTGCACCAGACTTTTGTAGTAGATAAGAAGCTGCACAAGTTTATCAGGCAGGTTTCATTTTCATCTTAACCCAAAATATGGAATAGTAACTGACCTGTGAGGTTTACATCTGCCTGTGTTTGTTGGTAAAATTGAGAAAAACTTAACTGAGGAGCAGCAGGTGTACAGAGTCTTTTACCGTTGTGAAAGTATATCTTTGGAACACTTAACTCCCTGCGTTGTTTCAAATTCTGTTTCTAAAAGCCTCCTGCTACTTAAGCTTCAGGTAAGCGCAGAAGGTAGTGTCACAGGCTGTTCAGGGAGGTACGTGGCAGAAATGAACTAATGGAGTTTCACTTCTAACGTTTGAGATTCATTGTGGTTTCTTACATTTCCTTGCAGGGCTATTATGACAGAAGACTTCAAAGTGCCTGATAAAATGGTTGGATTCAGTAAGTACACGTTTTTTTTGTGGATTTGAGGGTTTTTTTGGGGGGGTAGGAAGGGATTGAGCGTCGTGATCAGTCTCTGCGAAGTGAGGGAGGTCGCGACTGATGGGGGAGGTGAGGTGAAAGCCAGCTCTTCCTGGTTTTTGTCCCCATTGAACTACTTTACTACAGGGGCCTAAACGTGCAGTCCTTTGGAGCAGGGGATCTGGAACAGAGCCTCCAGCCATCATAACAATGCAAAGCGTTATTCTTGCATAAGTATATGCGGTTCAAGGAAAGGAAGGAGGATGCCAGGCGGCTGCTGATTAAACTTTTGCCCACCTGAAGTGCGAAATCCACTTCGGATCAATTACTGTAGCGTTTATCCAATAAGTCGGCGAGACACCGAGCTCTTCCCCACTGTTTCTTCTGCTCTTTTATATTCTGAGCTTTATTTTTTTTTGTGTGTTTTTGTCTCTTGTCGATATGTTTACATTAACAAAACTCACCACCAGCTAAGAAATGTTGCAAAAATGTTTTAACTGGATGCTCCTGAGCAACATGTCAAATGTTTATACGAGATTTTCGCTTTGGTTGTTGACTCGGGCGGTATTTTAAACAAGCACGCCTTTGTGTCTCCTTTTTTTTTGCAGTTATTGGCAGGGGAGGTGAACAGATCACAAGAATTCAGCTAGAATCTGGCTGTAAGATTCAGATCGCTGCAGGTAAGGCCACTTGGAGACCCTGTGACTTGCATGCTGGGATTGAATGCTTAATGAAGACGTATGACCTGTTCCCTTGTTTTAAAAAATAATGGTTTCTTGTTCTCTTCAGATAGTGGCGGTATGATGGAGAGGCCCTGTACGCTGACTGGGACCCCAGAGAGTATAGAGTAAGAGCTTTGTATATTTGAAAAGTTGAGGGATGCATGACAATGCAGAACTCTATTGTTACATGTGAAAATATAAGATAATATGCGCAGTCTTTGAAAGAATATTCAAGACTTATAGCATACGTTGTTGAAATAATAGTGGCCGAAATCCAAAGTTTTAACTTCTGTTACTTTTTTTTT